CTCTGGAAAGGGGTGGTTTCTGACGGAACCAAAAGTAGTTTTGTGGTCCCCTCGTTCCCCTCTGTCGATTCGACTACTTTTCCGTTGAAATCTGGACCCATCAATTTTCGCTAAAAATAGAAAGGCTATAGCCTTTGTAAATTTGGCCAAAAATGAAAAAAATAAAAATCGCTGGAAATGATTGGAATTGGTCTAGGAGGAGGGTCGCCTTTGACCTCCTCTGTCGAAATTGCGTGCTCCTGCCTCTTTTGCATCCTGTTTCTTCAACTATAAATTTGCGTCTTTGGTTTGTTGCAGGAAGATCGGCCTGAAGGTGCACCTGTCCTGGACATCAGCAAAGCAGCATATGTGTCACCTGCTGTATGCTGAGTTGGCGTCGCAGCACACAGCAGGAGGAATCGCTTCTTTTTCTCATGATCGCAGGAATGAATCTGGTAAGTTTTGACTTTCAATGTGATGTTAACTTAAAATACCAGTACATTTATGGTAGTCGTGTCTGGTAAAAGTTTATTTTGGTATTGTTTCTATTTGGGGGTTACTTGTCATTTCTTTACTGCTTATTCCCATTCCATATATACGGCTTATTACTTGAGCCTAAAATATATAGTTGTGTTTTAAATTTAGTGCGGAACTGGAGGCAAATCATTAGTAATCACTGACAGTAATGCTATTTATTTCATTTCTATGGTACAGTCGTGGTAAAATAAGGAGTGATGCTGGTTCTTGTCCAAAGGGATGCACCTAGACTTGATGCTGGCCACCTGTAACATAGAAAGTTCATTCGATGAGTTGGCATCACTGTGATACAGATGGACCAGAACATGTTTAAGTTGAACTCTGAGATAATTTGAATTTAACTTAGATTTTTTCCATTCTTTCTCAGGTATTTAGATTCGACCAAAGTCACCAGCAGAAACAAGCCAGCTAATTGAGCAAGATGTAACTCTTATAATGTAAATGATTTGAAACAATAAAGAATTCAATTACTATGCAACATTTTACATTATTTCATAGACCTGATTCTACGCTGCATTGACGCTGCAGTAACTGTGGATGTAGTAGCAGACTGCCACCACT